TCGAAAAAAGTTTTAAATTGGTAGCAAAAGAAAATAATTTATCAGAGATCAAAATGAAGTTTCAAAATAAATATGCAACAGAAATTTACAACAGAGATTTTTATTTCTTAAAAATTAGAAAACCACCAATCTTTTATATGGTACCTGTTACGTTGTTGGAGAACAAAAATTAACATTAATCTATTATAAATGAACTAGCTTATAATTCCTAGAAGAATAATCAATAGCTAGACTGGCCCTTTAGGCTTTAATCCTTATCCTTCATGTGAAAGAAACATATTCATTTAATTTCTGCCTCAATTTGGGTTCCTATGTGGTGAAATTTTTTTCCTATAAATTTCTCTGCAACTGCTATCACAATTACATATATTAATTGGCCTATGCACGAGACTACGTACAGCCATATTTATAATGCATATCTAACAGTTCAATATTTGGAGGACCCAACACATAATTATGACGATTTCTACATCCTCATCTGCTGATTTATTATATTATGGCATTTATCCTTCAGCATATATATGTAAATATATATATATGTTAATTTAAGGAGTTAAACGTAGTGTTTGTGTTTGTCAATTAGTTTTTCTGGTTTATGTCCTAATCCCTTCAAAACAGCAGCAATAAATATCATCAACTAATTTTTAGTTAGCTAATAAATTAAGTAATAGTTTCTTGGTAGACATATAGTATTAATATGTGTTGTGAGTGGATATTTGAGGTTGTAATGTGTAGGTATGGTTTTTAATTTTCTGGGCATTAAAGTGAGATCTACTTGCCATCTTTAATGCTTTGGCCTGTCCTCCATTCATTAATTAATAGGTTCGATGAGAGCAATTTAAGAACCCTATTAACTAGACATGCCATCTTGCATGATTCTCTCCTGCGCAATTTGATCTTCAAGACTGTGGTAGATTAATATCAATTTAGATATGTCTCCATGTTTTCATGTTTGTTCCCAAAAATTTTCTTCAACTGGGTTTTCTTTTTCTTCTTCTTTTACTCTTCATTTCTAGTACAAGGACATATTTATGCATATACGTGCATATATATAGTTGCATATATACAGAAGCCAAATATTTATAGTCTCCTGTATCTGAACTGAGAGTTTTTCTTCTTCTTTCTGGGAGTAATGGATCTTACAGAGCTATCTTTGGCTCCAAGAGAGTGTGTGATGAGTAAAACCAGAAGCAGTAATTCATCTTCAGAGTCTGAGTTGAGCAAGTCTTCTAGGAAGAGGAAGCTCTTTTCAGTTAACTTTCAAACAAGTGTTGACCTTCAACTTAAGGACCCTCTACCCTGGGACTGGGAACAATGTCTTGATCTTGAGGTATACATATAAATATACTATATCTTTCTCTTTAATCACATGTTCCCATGCAGGTTAATTAATAATGAAAAATTCTCATTTCCATATATTTTTTTCATACACATATATACATATGTTTAATACCCTCCTGTTAGAATTGTTTTATTTGACACGTAAGTAGTGTTTGGCAGTCGGAAAGGATCTATATTTTATATAATGTATATATATCCTTCTCTTAGTTAGATGTCGAGCCATGCAAGTTAATTAATATATATTCTAAGGTATTATATATTTGCATCAATCATATTTTCTCATATAAATGTTTCCATACCCTCCTGTCGTTTGAATGGTTTTCATTTGATAGGTATAACTAAACAGTGCTTTGGTGTTATTATGGCAGTCAGGTAGAATGTATTATGTGAACAAAAAGAGCTTGAGAAGAAGCTGGAGCTACCCCAAGGAGAAGAAGTTGGACCTTGAACTCAACATCTCCACCAACCCTAATTTTACTGGTCAACAGAAGTTAGTAGTTGAAGATGATAATCAACAAAATTCATCAACAGGGAGTGGTAGTAACATGGTGGCTTTGCCATGTATGAATTGCCATCTGCTTGTAATACTCTTTAAATCCTACCCTTCATGCCCAAACTGCAAGTACGTTCATGCTCTCTCCCCACCTCCGCAAACACAAACTCGAACGCCAAATTTCATATCTCACTAGAGGTGTAAAATGCGAGTTGCTTGTCGATGTATTGACCATTAACAGGTTGTTTATCTAATGTTTCGTGCTTTTCTATATTAGTGTTGATGTTTTTAAAGTTGAGAGTAAAATATGGTAAAACACCTTGACCCTCTTGAATTGATTATTTTGTTGAATTACTATTTGGATTCAAGAGAGTACATAAAATTCTTAGTGGGAAATCCCCTTTAAGCAATTAGAGTGTTTTTTTCTACCTCTAATTTTATTAGTCATAAGAAATATATATTTAGAGTATGTTGAATTCATGCAGTATTTTTGTTACATAATTAAAGTAATATAAAAAGAGCTTTCGATAAAATTAATTTTAAGATTAATTTAGTATAATGCTTGATAAATACATTATTATTTTAATATAAAATATTGTATCAAGATTAGTTAATTATATTATAAAATTAATAATAGATATTAAAATAATGAAAAAAATTTACATTATAATAAAAAATATAATTACTACAATTATTTAAATCATATCAACTAGATGAAAATCTTTCCCCTCTTTTTCTATTGAAAAATCAAATGTGGATTTTCAGTCACAAAAGCAAAACTTGAGGACAAACTGAAACCATTAACTCTTAACTGTAAATTCATGACCGTTCTTGTATTTAAATTTCAAATTGTGTTTACCTAATCATATAAGAAAATCCATTTAT